TCCAGCGCTACCCGCTTTCTCCCTGTCCCCCTCTGCTGGCCCCCGCCCCGCCCCCGTCCCCATCCCCGTCCCCAACACCGTCCCCTGGCCTTTTTACCGTTCTCTCTCTTAACTCCTTAGCGTTTAGCAACTCTGAAATGATACCACCATCCTGAGAATTACCCAAGGAGAAAGCAGTGTTGTCGCCTTACCAACCACATTTCCAATTCGTCTGTGAGGTGTACCCCAACCCTTCATCAAAGCCAACACTTGCTGATGTCTCGGTCATACCTAGATCTGCGACACGACTATCCCACAAGTTGGCCTGAAGGCCCTTTTTGCAAGACTTCCCAAAGTGGGACAGGCCAAGGGCTGCTGTTGAGAAAGGAGGGGGTACTCTCTCACACGGTAAAATTAGTGGTTTTTGAAACCTTGTGTCTACCTGTGAAACGATTTAGCTTCCTCTGAGAAGGGAATACCCTAAAAGTATTTCTTGAGACTTGGCAGTTTAGGGACCTTGAAGTCAGTAGCTCCATAGTACTTGAGACTGGGAAATAATTCAGCAGGGAACAGTAAGTTTCCTTACTGCTTTTTATAAATTTTTTTGTAAACAGTTTTACTGGAAACAGTAATTGTCACCCATACACGATTCAAGATCTTTCATTACACCTCCCCCACCCCACCCACTTTCATCTCTCTGGAATAAAGTAGATTTTTTTCCTTTCTGAGGCGTTTTGGAAGGTGTCAAACAAATGACAACTTATTTTTAGAGCAATTTATTTTGCAGCTTATGAATGCTAAAGTACTGGGGTGTGAATCGATGGGTTAACTCAAACCGTGTCTAACAACATCTTCAACTATTCTAAGAGCGTAGTTTAAATCTTGGATTGCCAGGGTTAGAGTTCCAACCTGGGATTTGGAGCATTTTGTAAATTATTTTAAAAATGGGACATTAATATGTCACACTGTTTATCTCACCTTCTAAAAGTGTTGCTTTCCAAGCCTGAATCAAACCTAGACTTAGCCATTCCCTTTCAGGATTGTAGTGGGTAAATTCCATTCTCCTTCTGCTGTTAACATGAAGCCTGAAATCCTTTGCATGTTTCTGATCCCAAGATAGGAGTATAACTAAGAAGTTAATTGGGTAATTAAAATAAAACAAAGACTAAAATCTTCTTAACTGTTAAAACCAAAAAGAACAGATTGACTACCACCTATTATGTTATCTTAAATCTAAAATGAGGACAATTAACTGGTTTCAAACTAAGAAGCTTGGCAGAATACATCCAAGTACCAGTACTAGGATAATGAATTTGGTGTAAAGACGTCTTATTAGATTATTTTTTTCTCCCCAATCTTTGCAAGATACAAAAGAATTTACTAATCATTCCCAGTTCTTTAAATTGTTGACAAGTACAGCCAATTTGGTCAGGGGTTCCTGAGAGGGATTTCAGAGCACTGCTATATAATCAGGTTGATGTGGAAATAAGCAAATAACAGAGTCATGAACTTAAGGGCAAAGTTATTCATATACCCAAAGTTATTAATTAGTGTTTAAATAAGTGTTGATTAAATAGCTTTTTTTGGCAGTTGTTTTTATGTAAAACTTAACTGGGAAAGAGCATGAAGAATATATTTGCACAATATATGCTTTTAAAAATAAATTGCAATAGCTTAGAAAGTAAATTTACTGTCTTCATAAAAACATCCAGTGTCTCACAGTGCATTTATTATCAGAGAACACACACACACAGTTAAATGTCCTACTTCCCCCTATGTTCCTAGTAGAGCAATAGCTGTATGTTTAGAATAAATGTTACCTGCTTCAACTTTCACTGCATGAGTCACGCAAGGTGGCTGTATTTTAGGAAGATCATTAAACGGGCACTACTGAGTCCAAGGCACTTCTTTTGCCTGGAGGAGGGCCTGATCTGTTTCTTTAAACCAGTACTGGTAGTCTGGACTGACCCACCTATATCACAGACCAGTTTGGGAAATAATCTAGGCCACTGAACTTTGAGTGACAGCTGCTAAGGAAATAAGTATGGTTGGAAAAAAGTCGGTGATAAAGATAAATACTAAGGTCAATTCATGGGTGTCTCTTTAGTCATATCATGCCAATGAACAAAGGAAGTCACAGACCCTCAGATATGTACTGCTGCTCAACACAAACTTCCATGGATTGATGGATTTTGGAAAGCAGAGATTTAAGATAAATTATAATCTGATGCAATTTTACTGAGTACCAGTATTAGCGGCCAGGAGGGTATGAGGTGGATGCCCTAGACCTAGTTCTGCAGCGCTCATTTTGAAAATCCCACTAACTTGTGGCCCCGAGAGTTTCCTTTTTTGGACTCAGTCTCCCTCTTTGCCATGTAACTGAGATAACACAAACAGGGCTTGGTAGAACTCGTTGTCACTTTCTAGTTCCTACTTTTTTTGGGGGGAGGTGTCTTTCAGCTCTGCTTTTGCCTTTGACTAAGCTGGTTTAGGCTCCAAAAACATCTGGTATGCCACTGTTACTCATTTAAATATATGTTACTCTTTTAAAGCTACTTGCTTTACATCTAGGGTGGGCATAGCTTTGAGAAAGCCATGAGAAAATAGGAAGAGGGAGAAAAAAAAAGAGTAAGCATTCTTCACTCCTTCTCATCCACCTGCTGACTTATCAGGGGTTCCTGAAGAGCTGCAGCTGGGCACCAATGGGCTGTACTCTAAACACTGAACATATATAAAATGGAGACGCCAAATTCAGACTGCAAGGCTGGATCACCAGACAGGTGTAAGGTCCTTCTCCTTCTAATGTGCTTGCCTTCAGAGTGGGAGCCCATGTAATATGAGTTGGCCTTGGACTCTATCCAGGAGGCTTCAGCTACTGAAGTAGCAAAATGAGTTGTGCAGGCAGTAGCACTTCATGAACCAAAGGATGGAATTTTAGTAGGCTTCCCAGTACTGACTTGTTGGGAGTGTGGAGGTTTTTGTGTCATGTTCGTTATGTTTGTTTGAATTTATAGCCAAGCTAACAAGTGGGAAGCCCAATGCGTGATAATCTAAACTTGGTTTTAATAACGGAGATCCCCTTTATTGCACCCATATCCAGCCTGTTCTCATCTTAGGCAGCATCTGTAACTGGGAACAGTCGTTCAAATGATGCGTTGCTTTCAGAAGGTGCTAAAGCTAATTCTATATTTC